TTTGGCGTAGTACAGTTTTGATAGACGGTGGTGATTTGTCTTCTCGGTAGGTTTTTTGTTAGGCTGTCTGCTATTCTGTGCTTGGGGTTGTCACTCATACGTTTAAATTTTCTGTTAGGGTAAACACCTTTTCTTCCCTTCGCTGGCTAAAGCTATGGAGGCCAGAAGTTGCCTCCAGCTCATTGACTGGTGTGCTTATCATACCCCCAGTGATGATTTTGAGACCAGTGTTCTGTATTTTGTCCAAGTTTGTAAAGATTTGATTTGCCTGCAGTGGAGAATGCGCCCATGCCATACTCCAGTTTTGGTCGTACGTATCCTGTGTGTACCTATCGTTCTGTATTGGCATCTTCACTCCAGCTTGTTTCAGTAAGTTTCTTCATAAGTTTGAGCCGCAGGGTAGCTTTCCGGGTTCTTCGGCGTGGTGGACCAAAGTTAATCTGTTGTCAAATTGTACTTCCAAGTAGGCGGGGTGGGGGGGGGGGGGGGGGGGTTGGGAAGGATGTTCCCATGTACAGATCAACTTGTTCTGGCTTTGTGGAAAGAGAAGAGAAGATAGTCGAGACGGTTTTGGTCTGGTTTATTTTGACTCCCCAAGAGTCTGTCCATTTCGTAACTGTATTCATAGCTTCCTGCTTTCTTGTTTTAGTTGTTCTTATTTGTTTAGTTTGGGTCCATATGGCCAGGTCATCTGCATGTAGGGCCTTGTGAATGTGAGTCATAAACTATTTTGGGAGGTCATTGATGAAAAGAATAAACAGGGTAGGAGATATAACATGTCCCTGGGTGACATCTTCTTGTAACCTGATCATCCTGCTCTTGTGCTCTTTTAGTCATAAAGAAAGTACTTGGTACTTGGTACATGGTGTTGGTGAAAAAAAAAAAAATTCGCGCTTCTTTCAACCGGCTCCTAGTTTGAGCAGTGTTTAAATCGAAGACTGTGTTTAGTTGTTTGGAATTCGCTTCCAATTATCTTTCCTTTGATTTGCGGCGTTTGATACGTCTGAGGTTTTCTTGTAAGGATGATTTCTGTGAGTAGGGAGGGGATCTCGGTCCGCCCTAATAAGGGCAGACCATAGCCTGGGACGGCCTGAAGAAAGTCTCTAATTCAGGCAAACATATGCCCTTTTATCCCACTGTGTGCTAGTTTTAGCAAGAGTCCTTTCTTCCAAACCTTATAAAAAGCGTTAGTCAGGTGGAAAAAAAGTAGTTAACAGTTTGTATTTTATTTTCTAGAAAGCATCTTTACTTTCCTCAGCGAGACGAGAGGTTTGGTCATCAATGCTTCTGTATTTCCTGCAGCCTGATTGGCTGCCATCCAATAGCTTGTTTCCTTCCATGAAATTAGGTAACCTGTTGTTCAGTAATCTTTCCATGGTCTTGGAATAGCAGTTTAGAAGGCTTATGGAGCGGAAACTGAATTTGTTTTCCTTATGCGTTCCTTTCTTGACTTTTGGGATAATTTCTGCCTCCTTCCATTCCTCAAGCATTAGTCCCTGGGTCCAGGTTTGGTTGGTAGTCTAAGAGTCGTTGTCTACCAGCTGGTCCCAAGCGTACTATCATTTTCTCTGTTATTTAATTAGGTCCTAGTGCCTTCATTTTCTTGAGAATTCTTAATGCGCATCCAAGTTCTTAAGGGACTGAAGAGTTTATTCATTAAATCTTTGTTATTTTCTTGCTTTTTATTGGGTTTTCTCAGTTTTCTCGTAACTTCTTCTCTCGCTCTAGACATGAAGATGTTGCTTTCCTCTACAAAAATATCGGCCAGCAGGTTTGCTGCTTGTTTACCAGTAAAAGAATTTCCTCCATCTTCAATTACAGTGTTGGCATGGCTGGTATGATCCTCCTCATTTAGATAGACTCTTTACTAGAAAGGCTTTTACCGTCTTTATCCATGTTGAGAAAAGTAGTCTTTTCCTGCCATCTTGTTCTGATGCATGTGAGATTTTCTCTTCTACAAATAGCCTGATGTTTATTGTGTTCTGTTACGATGAGGTCAGAGGGATTTCGTTTTATTTGTACTCTTGCTGCTGTGCTTCTTTGGTGCAGCTGTTGCAGTTCTTGGGCCAAGAAGGGTTCATAGTTTTTGCGTTCGACCTCTGGGGATTTATTTTGTTTCTGCTACGAGTATGATACTGGTAAGAATTGTGGTGTTTTTTCTAATCTCATTGTTTGGAAAGGACTCCAATAGTTTTTTCTCTGTTTAGTTTTTGTAGAGGTCCCTAGTCTGATTTCTTATAAGTCCAGCTGACTATCTTCTTCCTGTTTTCTGGTGGCTTGACCTTTCCTATAACGATGATGACTGGTTTGTGATCATGTCTTTCCAGCTGTTTCATCACTTCTCTGTCTACCCTTCGTTGGATGTTTTCTGTAACTATAGCCAGGTCTGGTGTACTTTGTGTTCGCCATCGTCTAGACTAGACGGTTGGTTCAGAATCAGATTTATTTATTAGTATCAGCATGTTTGCCACCATCCAGACCTCTACCTCTTCCCCTCTTGTGTCCATGGAAGCATAGCGCCAGCTAGGGGAATGACTGTTAAAGTCCAATGAAATTTATAACAGTGGACACGTACCTGATGATCTTTTAAAATCGTGTGTCATAGTTTCACCAAAAATCGGTGCTGTGGAATGTGGATAACACCGAACAGTTAGCTTAATGAGCCCTGTAACTAAAATATTATTGAGAATTATTATAAGAAGAATACGGTGCAACATTAAACCAGAAATTGCAAAAGAGCAGTGTGGTTTTGTTAAAGGTAAAGGCACAAACAACGTCTTTTTTTGTCTTGAGAACACTCTCAGAAAGAAGGATTGACATGATTAAACTAAAGCATTTGATAAAGTGAAACATAAGGAAATTATTATAATTTTGGAAACCTCTTGATGGTAAAGATCTGAGAGTAATTTTAAAACAAAAACATACTGGCCATAAGAAGCAGAAATACGGATTGACAACCAATTTAAAACTTTTCAATATGTCTACTCAAATAATAATTAGATCCATACATAGTATGCCAGGAATATCGATTGGTGGGCATATTGTTAACAACCTGCAATATGCTGACGATATAGTTAGAATCGCTGAAAGTTAAACACACTTGCAAGAAATTTTGGTTATTATTGTAATGTAAAGTGAAAAAGAGGCACTTAGTCTGAACAGCAGAAAAAAAAAAAAGAACTGACCCTTAAAAATATTATATCAAAGTAAATGGGAAAAACCTTGAGCAAGGTGATATGTTTAAGTGCTTGGGTACCCTGATAACATCAGATGGAAGATGCATTAAATAAGTTAAATGTAGAATAGCTCAAGCAAAGGCTGCATTTTACAAAATGAAGAAGATTGTATGCAATCTATCTTTGTCAGCTGAGACGAGAAAGAGGATTTTTAAAAGCTGTAAAAACCCTATCTTAATATACGGAGGTGAATCATGGACAGTTGGTAAATTAGTGAAAACGTATTTGGAAGCTGTGGTTTTATAGACGAGTGATAAGAATACCCTGGACAGATAAAAAGGGTAACGAAGACGTCTTACAAGAGACTGGCTCACGAAGAAAACTGACTGCCCGCATCAGAAAGAGACAATCTACATTGTGTGATCTTGTAATGAGATGGAGAAAACTGGAGTACATCGTGACAGTAGGAAAGTTGGACGGGAGGAGTGGGAGATGGAGACCGAGAAAACAAATGCTGGAAAGTTTGACACTATGACATAGAAGATCATCTGAGTCAGAGCTGACTGAAAAAAAAAAAAGAACGAGACAGAATGTTGTGGAGAGACATGACTACCAACACCACACAGCATGAAGAAGAAGATGCCTGTAATAAAATGCAGCAAGAGCTTTTAGATTGACCAAGTAACGTATTGTGCGTTCTTTGGTCCTGTAAGATTTAAATATCGTCTGATACTGCTTCTGGCAAGGATTTAGAAATCATGCAATAACAACGGGATAAAAGTTGTGACGTGGCCTTATCGAACAACGGTGTTTGGTTTGTTAAGTTTTTAAGGAGCGACAATTTAGAAGAGACGGTGAGTTACCTACCACCCAGCTGACGCCATTGTGTGCAAACTTCTCACGGAAAAAGTGATTTGTACCTATTTGATTTTACAGTTCTATAATCTTACTGCCACACGCTAGCGATATACTTCCTGTACAATTGTAGCTAAGGGTTTCCACTCTAAGATGTTTGAAGCTTTATTTTAGATGTGCAGAGATATTTTATGAATACTTCGCATCATTTTTCGCTTTGTTTGTCATAACGCACACAAGATTTCTATAAAAACATCTGATATTGTTTACCTGTTTATGATGTTTTCGTCATTCTTCTATAAACCAAAAACCAAAACAAAACAAAAAACTGGCACTGGATTAGGGTTATAACTATATCAGTTTGAGAATTCGGGGAATTGCCAGCAGATGTTGTAGAAATGAAGATACAGCAATTTATTAATGACACCTGGCGCCTATTATTATCTAAATTTTTATTATCTTTTTGTGTGTGTGTGTGTGGGGGGGGGGGGCAATTAGAGCAGGCATAAAATGCAAATGGATCATGTTTAAGGCAAGAAAGCTTGACTTATAAATAATATCAAAACAAATGTTTGAGAATCTTGCTGGAGGCGGTCATTGCCGCTTTCAGTTGGCACAGTGACGTTATAAAATAGCATACACCTGTGCCTAATGCTTACACGACAAGAACTACAACACATAATCTTTAGCGTACACATTCTAAATATAAATAGTATGCTTTAAGGGTAAATAATATTAAAATGATTTATCACTTACAGCTTAAAACTAAAGCAAGCAGTCTCTAATATTTCTTTAATAAAGGTGTGTTTTAAAGTCACAACTTCAAGTTCTTTAATACGCTGTCTTCAAAACAGGCATACAGAACAGAAATCCCATCAGCAAGAAAAATGATTTCATTATCATTTGAGAAATCCAGATTTCCATTGAAACAGATTGTAAAGTCAGCGTCTGTGCTGATACTGTTACAAGTTCTCGTGGTTTCAACCACTGGTGACACTGTAAGACATAGAACTCAGGAGAATTTCAGTTCGGATCCATGCACATCCAGTATGTCTTTTTGTTATATTTTTAAGAGTTGTATACATCAATGTTTAAAATGCTGCTGTCAGTGAAATATTGATTATCTTAGATTAACAGGTAATCTACTGCCATATTGTCTAGTGGAGATGTAGAATGTGGACTTAATGTCCACAAGAGTGCTTGCTGCTACAACAATGTCTTATCAACGAGTAAAGGTTCCAGGTTCGAATTTTATTTTATAAGGGAGGATTACACGTTTATAGGGTTATCTAAAGGTAGAGGTCGACCAATAAAGAAAATACTGGAAATTGTGAAATCAAGGGTTGACAGAGAGTCTTGTCAGAACTAACTCAAAGTAAACGAAACATCAGTTTATAGATAGAAATGAATACCAGTGTCACACGGCATAGTCTATAAAATAAAGAAATGTTGCCTAGTCTTAAAACTGAAATAATGCGAGATACATGAAACATTACAGTTGCTTAGATCAAAGACTCCTCTGTTCCTGCAGCGAATTTTCTTGGTGGTGAATCCTTGTTAGAGAAAGGACACAGGGCCACTAGGACAATGCTTCCGGAAGAAATGAAGAAGATCAGGGCTTCTCTACCAGAGCTGCACCAAGAGGATCCTGACACACGCAAGTAAGTTTATTTCAGCGAGTTTCTGAGTTGAGCTGAGTTCAGTACCCCTATAATAGCACTTGAGACATTCCAGAAAGAGCTCAGTCCCCATCTTCAACATCCAGAACAGAATTCCACAACCGATGGTAACAGTATTAATCTAAATGTATGTCTGTCTCACCTTTTCCCTCGATGTTGAGTGTCGACAAGAGCCATTGGTCACTCTCCGCTGTCATTCACCCCAAAAGGACCATCCCAACATCTAATTAGTCAAGTTATTTGTCATGACGAGGAGGAAATATCCAAAAGGAAGCTAACTATCCGGGACCTTTAGAACAATGCTTGGCACTCTGTACGGAGCCTACTGTAGTAACATTTCAAAAAGTCACAAGTTTTTTATTTAATTTATTTATTCATCACTGTGGATAGACGTTTTGAACGTCCTCTACACGACATGCGCATTGTCGTAGAACAAGTTAAAGTAATCCCTGCATGAGATACACGGTTACAAACTATCAAACTGTGAAATACTCTTTGTTATGTACCTTAGCTTTATTTTCTTATTTTTTAAGTTTGTGATTTTTCATTGTTGTTGTCTGATCAGTCGCTTTCAAAGCTGCTTGCCTATTTATTTCCCAGCACAACTAGAGAAGCATATCGACAACAGCTACAGATTGCCGCCACTTTTTTGTTGAAGATGTTAGAGGAAAATGCTGCAGGATTCATTTCCCCGTGCCAGCAACAGTGAGTGTGTTCAAAAAGTTTTGAGTGTTTCTTTTATTTTAATTTTTCGTTGTAACTGACTCAGAAAGCATACTAAGGAAGGTGAGAACAGGTATGCTTCGTGCGGTTCCATACTTCGCATCTGAGGTTACAAGTGCGAAGCAGTGTATGCATATTTTCTCTGGGGAAAGCCGGTGTGTTGAGAAATAAACAGGCGGATAGATTGTAGGGCTCTGCACAAATTGGTGAAATTGTGAGCCTTGTCGAAGAACGTGTAGAATTCAGAGGAGCAAATGGATCGCAACAATCTGGTGAGAGGGATACAGCGGGCAGTGACAAGGGGTTCTGGACGATACTCGACGCTCAGAGGAAAAGCAAGACGGGTGTATTATCAGAATGATACTGACAACATTGGTGTGGAACACTGCGCTAGCTGCTGAAGATGCGAGCGGTGTACTTATGGGAATGCCCTGAATGCTTTCATGTCCGTAATTAAATCAACTCAACTCAGTGTTTCTTCAGGCGCAAGCAAACATTGTAAATATACATAATAGTTTCGCATTTCGCTGGGCATTTTCCTTTCAAATATTCGTGGACGCCCTCTGTCTAGGCTTACATGCCCAATTTTGTTTGGCCTACTGCACCTTGTCAGGTGTGTCGTGAAATTTAACTTATTTTTACTTTGTAGAGATCGGAAGTTTTGGGCCAAAAGACAAAGATATCGCATTCTATCGGTAAACCACAACGAAATGTACCAACTGTTATCAAGGGAATTCAAAAGGAGTTCCAAAGGGTTACCTAAGATGACGTAGTAGTTTTACAGCTAAGTGAGAAACGGGTAAGGCAAGGGAAGTAATATTCAAGTTACAAGGAAAAATAATGCCATTTGAAGGAAACAAGGGTTTTAAAGGAACAAATGAGATAGAGGCAGTTGCTGGTTGACCGTCTGAGAGGCAACTGGTTTCGCATGAAGTGGCTAAAGTGAACGTCGATTGTGAACTGAGGGAACCTTAAAGTGTATTCAGTTTGTTTTCATATTATTACTACTTCTGTCTTATTAGTATTATTGATGATTTTAAAATTTTCATTTTCTACATTTGTGCATCTATATTTTTCTAAGGTTTCCTATGTTTGCATATGAATTTATCAATGAAATTTTTTTTTTTTTTTTTGGGTGTCTGTAAACACATAATTTTATTGAAACCGATGACGGATTTAGGAATCACCATAGCCGTATACTGTGCTTACCCACAAATGCTCCCTCCTCCCGCAACAAATGTCCTGACTTGATGCTGACACTTCCAGTAGCATACTAGAAACTAAGTGAACCAGAAGGAAATGAAACCTAGAAACGTTACAAATACTACCCCGGTAACAAACTGGTACCCCACGCCAACACAGAACAGTATGTTTCATTAGTAACTAGTAAAACTCGTGTTTAGGTTTTTTTTTAATTCTACTTTTTTTTTTAAATTATAGTATCTGCTGTTCAACAGGGTTTGTGATTTGTTCATATTGGATTGGTATTATTCTTCTTTTGCTCCCACCATTAGACGTTCCGTTGGCACCTGTGGCGGCCGTGATCAGTTGACGTGTAAGAGTAAACGATAACACTGCAGAGGGTATTACGTGAAATTTTCTCCTCGTCGCTTCGCTGTTGGGAGAATGCCTACGCATCTAGCATCATTGTACTGTAACTGATAGCTTTCACACCTTACTGTTACTGCATAATCGACGTATGCATGCAGCGAGTTTTCCCCCCACTATGTTTCAGAAGTAAACAAAGTAGCCTATTTGTAAGAAATATGAAATAGTAATGATAAAAAGTAAAAATAATTAAATTTTGCTTTAGCCCTATCACCTCCGATTTTAGTAAACCGTTAAATAGTTGCTTTCTGCGACAGCTCACTAGAAGCCAGAGGTTCTAGGTGTGTTTAGCGTTCTCTGCAGCTCAGTTATCAAACCCTCTTCCACATCAAAGGAAAAATACTAGTCCTTATACGGAAAATCGGAAACGGTTGGAATAATTTTTTTGAGGAGAGAATACATTCACCCATGGAGGATAGAAGTAGTTTAGAAATAACGCATATTTTCCCAAAATCGATTACAATTACTAGGGTCTACTTTAGTTAGAAATGTGCACATTGCAGTGCTTGTAAGAATATTAGCTGCTGTTAATTATATTAACTATTACTTGATGTATGCAAGAAAATAATTTATGAAGGGATGGAAACTAAAAGGACAGCATATTAGACGGGTTCGCAAGCTCAATTTATTTTACCATTTGAAAAAAAAAAGCTTTTTATTCTATTTATTACTTTCTCTAAGATCGGGCCTGTGACATACATGAGGATTAAAGGTATCCGAATAGTGTTTGTTGAGACACTGGTGTCGAACTTTCATGAGACAGTCTCAGAATGGGTAGGAGGATCAATGCTGTATTGGCAATGTATGAAATTCTAAATATGAACTGGTTACCTGTTAGGGCATTTGCATCTCTCTCCCTAGAAACAAGGACCAGTGTCGACTAGAAAAATCAGAACAGCGAAAAGAAATCAAGAAAATTTGTGAGAAACTGAGATGGATAAAAATGCAGATGATACATTTTAAGGAGAAATATTTTGAGCAACAGAACGTCATGGGTGAATTACAGCTTGCAGGCAAGTATTCTTTCAGAATCAACACAACAAAGCAGACTGTTTCAGGGAATCAGGTAAATATTTTTTTTTTTTAAATATGCTGTGTGTGTTTTTTGTTTTTTTTTTGTTTTTTTAGTAGTTAGAAGGAAAAGGGGGGGGGGGGGGGGGTGAGGATGTCATGCTTACGAAAAGTGGAGAATTATTTTACAGAAAACAATGACAGCCGAAAAACGCAGGGTACTAGAGACAGACCAGGACGACAAGGAAAAACTAGACTAGAAGATGAGCAGGTAGGTCGAGGTGGAAGATTATGAGGAGCTGGACTTACTAACACAGAGAGAGCAGCTTTTTTTTTTTTTAAGGAAAGAGAGGTGTCAATTTTTTGTGTACTTTTTACCTTTTTAGTCTAGTGTATCATTTTGATGATGATTACGTGTGGATAATGTCTCATGTGCATTGTCGATAAGCTCAGGTCGTCATCTCGCAAGTTCACTATTCACAGATCAGGTCTGTGTTCTTCTCCTGTTAATGCAAACTATAAAGATATTTATCTCTTTTTCTTCAACACGCCTTTCCGATCACTTATGCTAGTTCACATAAAGTTGTCAATGTTGTCTTTGCTTTTCTATGAAACCTACTGTGATTCTTTCTTATGCTGCAGACAAGTTTGAATTCCAGTTACCAATGGACCCACACACGGAAAAATGAGTCCACAAAGTCAGGCTCCAAGGGAAAAAGAGCTGCACTTGCAAGCAAGACTAGACTCTGGAACTATGGTGTCATACCGTATGTGATCGATGGCATTTTTTCAGGTAAATGTTTGTTAACCGGCTTGGTAAATTGTTGTATCAAGAACCGCATATAGAGAACTCTATGTATTCTATATTTTTTCCTATTCCTTTTATTTTACTCATTTTCACCTATCCCTGCTGGTAACGTTTTCAAAGTGATGTTGTAGTGTACCTTTTAAGCTTGTATTGTGGTGTTATACCGTTCATGCTAATCTTTTTTTTATGATGTTGCTGCGTTCCTTTTATCCTATTCAATAGGATGTTGCTGCATTTCTTCTGCCTTTTCAAAATTATGTTTCTGCGTTCCTTCTATCCTTTACAGTATGATGTTGTTGCGTTCCTTCTGTCATTTTCAATAATATGTTGTTGCGTTCCTTTTATCCTTTTAGTGTGATGCTGCTGTGTTCCTTTCATCCTTTTCATTGTGATGTTACTGCGTTTCTTCTATCCTTTTCAACATGATATTACTGCGTTTCTTCTATCCTTTTCAACATGATATTACTGCGTTCCTTCTATCCTTTTCAACATGATGTTACTGCGTTTCTTCTATCCTTTTCAACATGATGTTACTGCGTTTCTTCAATCCTTTTCAACATGATGTTACTGCGTTCCTTCTATCCTTTTTAACATGATGTTACTGCGTTCCTTCTATCCTTTTCAACATGATGTTACTGCGTTCCTTCTATCCTTTTCAACTTGATGTTACTGCGTTTCTTCTATCCTTTTAACATGATGTTACTGTGTTCCTTCTATCCTTTTCAATATGATGTTGCTGCGTTCCTTCTATCATTTTCAATATGATGTTGCTGCGTTCTTTTTATCCTCTTCAATGTGATGTTGCTGCGTTCCTTCTATCATTATCAATATGATGTTGCTGCGTTCCTTCCTCCTAATCAAGTCAAGGGGTAAGATTAGTAATTTTCCCTTGCATGACTGCAGTCTTTAGGATTAGCACGTAAAAGGATGAGAATAAAACAGATGTCGCATCAGTTGAAACTTTTTTTTTTATCGTATTGAACAAATGCACATGCACTGCAATATACATGCGTTCCTTTTGCTTGCTTCTTTAGGTGATAAGCAGGCCGCAGAACAGTTAGCTTTGTTTTTGTGGGCCGAGGTTGTAAACACTATATGAAGTGGATGGCGTTGGTGCACTTAGTTCTGTCTCATATTGTCTGTACACTGTCAATATTTTGTTTGTACACTATCAGTATATTATTTGTACACTATTCCTATATATTGTGTACACTATGAGTATATTTGTTGTACAGTATCTGTATATTTTTGTACACTATTAGTATATTGTTTGTACACTATTAAAATATTGTTTGTACACAATCAGTATATTGTCGGAAGATTATCAGTATACTGTTTGTACGCAATCAGTATATTATTTGTAAACTGTCAGCATATCGTTTGTACAGTATCAGCATATTGTTTGTACACTATCTGTATATTATTTGTAGACTATCGGTATATTGTTTGTACACTATCAGGATAATTTGTGTACACTATCAGTTTATTGTTTGTACAATATCCGTATATTGTTTGTACGCTATCCGTATATTGTTGTGCACCAGTTTATTATTTGTATTTTGTCTGCCTAATATATTACGTCAATTCAGTTCGCAACAAAGAATTATTTGAACAAGCAATGAGACACTGGGAGAAGTACACCTGCATCACTTTTAAAGAGAAAGAGCCCGAAGATCAAGATTACATTCTATTTACACAGACAGCTTGTGGGTAAGATTGTAGCAGTTATTGCTGTTATCATATATATATATATATATATATATATATATATATATATATATATATATATATATATATATATATATATACTAACTGCACCTGGCCACGCGTTGCTGTGGCATTGTTCGGCTAAATAGAAAAGTAAGAAGATAAAAGATTTCAAAGTTTAAAATAGCATGGTTACGCTGCATTTTCATAGATTTCTATTTATTTTCATTTTGACTTAATTATTTTGTCTGACATTACGTTGGAGTTAGGCTGTGTCGTTTACTATAGCGTTCATTTCGTAATTATAGTGTGTGTGTTCTGTTTTCGTTGCTTTACACTTCGCTTGTTTTTTATTTTTTTTTTTCAATTACTTCGACAAGGGAAAGAGTAGTCAGTGAGTTGAGGAGGAGGGGGGGGGGGGGGTACAAATTGTTAACTGCGAGAGCTTCAAGTTACAGTAACTGCTTTGACCACTTATAGTAGCAGCAGCAGTAGTAGTTGTGGTAGGCCGGTTGCAACGTAGGGCTGTCATGCGAAAGACCCGGGTTTGACCGCCGGTAAGGTGACTAAGTTTTTATGTCAAAAGGGGGGGGGGGGGGGGGGGGAGCAAAATTACACATCTTAAACTGCCAGTATGTGGTGACCGTATTAGCCAAATCCTTAGGCTCACGACCCAATGTCTACTCGATGGTAAAACAGATAGTAGTGACATTAGTTTAGTTATTGTGGTGGTGGTGGTGGTTGTGGTAGTAGTAGTACTGGTACTTGAAGGATGGTGTGGTAAATATTACACTAGCCGCATTTACTTCTCATTACAATTGCTGCTCCCCATTTTAGTCGGATGTACAGGGATGTCAATATCAATTTAAAAAAAAAAAACATATATCGTCCGATGATGACTTTTAAATCCTTCGGAGAGGGAGAGAGCTGTAGTCGGAGGCTGAGTGAGGGGAGGGGAATATAACAGAAATTTTTAAATAAGAGAGCTTAACATGTGTTTTTAAAGTTTTCATTTCTTAATCTGTTAATATTTTACTAACGCTACCTTAGCTATTCTCTTTTTTTTTTTTTTTTTTTGCGACTCACTTGGTCCTTTAAAAGTACAAAAGTAAGATGCTATTGATAAAAAGCTAACAGATGAACAGGCAGGTTTTCGGTCAAACAGATCCTGTTCTGACCAGATAGCCACATTACGTATTATAATAGAGCAAAGCATTGAACTGAACTCAGCACTTTACATTGGATTTATAGACTATGAAAAAGCATTTTACAGCATTGATAGGGAATCTCTCTGGAAATTGACACGACACTATGGAATCCCAGATAAAATTATTAACTTAGTAAAAGCAACATATAAAGAAATGAAGGTTGAGTTCTTCTTGAGGAAAAGCTAACAGATACATTTGAAATAAAAACAGGTATGCGACAGGCATGTCTTTTGTCGCCTCTCTTATTTTTTCTGTCTATAGACTGGGTTAGGAAAACAGTAACTGCTAACACAAATAATGGAATTCAGTGGACCCCTTCAAAACAGCTTGATGATCTGGACTTCGCTAATGATATTTCTCTTCTGTCCCATTAATGGAATCAGCTGCAAGATAAATTAAATATACTTGATGCGAGATCACAGCAGCTTGGTCTGAAAATCCATATAATAAAGACAAAGATAATGAGAATAAATCAGGCAGATAGTGATGTAGTTTCTTCTAATGGCACCCCACTCAGAGACGTGAAGTCGTACACCTATTTGGGCAGTAATGTAGAACACAAAAGGCAAAAGTAGCTTTCATAGCACTAGGGAATTTGTGGAGGTCAAAAGAAATTAAAAGAAATAATAAACTAAAAATTTTAATTCTAATGTTAAATCAGTAATTTTGTATGGGACGGAAACATGAAGAACAACTAAGGCTATTACTAATAAATTACAGACATTTATTAACTGGTGCCTGTGCATAATAGAGGGAATTAAATGGTATTATAGAATAACTAATGTAAAGCTTTGGGAGAGAACTAAACAGGCTCCAGTGGACCAAGAGGTAAGGAAAAGACTCTGGCGTTGGGTAGGACACACACTGAGAAAACAGGAAAACAACATAACTGAAATGTCTTTGCATTGGAACTCACAGGGGCATAAATATAAAGGAAGGCGAAAAAACACATGAAGAAGAGAGGTGGAGAATAAAGTTAGAAAGATGGGGAGGAGACATGGGGAGAGCTCCAAATTCTTGCAGGAAGCTCTTGAAGAATGTGAAACAATTAATTTAATTACCCTGTCGTCTTTAAGTGTTGTTTTCTGCGGCGTACACTTCTCTTTCTCTCGGATGAACCACCGTCCAACTGGAATCTGATAATAGCGATGGGGACCGTCGCTTTGCTAATGGCAACTGGTACAGAAATATCACATTCTGTGTGCCTCTCTCGACGTATTGTAACAATTTCAGTTCCTTCGTCTCTATTTTCCTGCGATTATAAAAACTAAAGATAACACCACTGACAAAACAAAAAGCAACCCAAATAGAGCAGCACTCGCAGATGCAGTTTGTTTAATTTTATACGACCACATTTCGTCGACTTCGAGATTTATTAGGGAAATTCCCAGAACGTACGTAGTAAAGGGGGTTAGGTTTATGCTAAGTATTAGTCGCCTTTTTTTAACACTAGCCCTAACCCTAACCACTTCCCCCCCCCCTCCCCAGCCCATAATATGGTACTGTCCAGAGTAACCCCTAGGGATCCCTGGGAATTCGCAACCAAATCACGAAGGCGACGAGATGTGGTCGTATACAATTAAAGAACCGCTGTCGTACCCTCCAGGACTGTAAATGAAGACTTCAAAAAGGATAATCGGATGTGTACAAATCTAGGTCAGCCCAGTTCAACAGTAAGGTTTTGTTACGGCCCGCGACGGTTACCAAGAAACTCGAAGTCTGGACCCTACATGGATAGCCTCAAGGGTGTGATCTAAACTAGCAGTTGATGCGATACTCAATAATATTATCTAAATATCATTTACCAACTGATCTATAATTGTAGGAGCCGCAGTGGTGCAGCGGCTGGACGCTCACCTGCGGATTCCAAGTCGTGGGTGTTTATCCGTTTAGTGCTATTTTTTTTTTTTAAAATGACCTTAGCTCTCAGATAGACCCCGTCTTAAATGGTACCAGGTAAAGTCATGGGAAGTAAAGGCGGTCGGTAGGTTTTAACCACATAGGTATATAGAAATATGAGTCTGATGCACCGCTGGTGTGTAAAGGGACCTTTACTTTTACTTCACCATAATTTGTGGACATCTCTAATCCTCGAAGTGGTGAAGTTTGATTTACTAAACGTCTGGTTTAGAAAAAAAAAGACCATTCTCATGACTTTCGCACACTGGTATGATATATTGCACTTTGGTAGAGGGTGGAAGGCGGGAGGGGGGGGGCAATTATTGTCTTAGATGAACGTATCTACTCCAGTCAATCCCCATTGTTGAAACGACATACATTGTATTTCTTCATTTTGGACAATGTACTTGGTGACTTGAACAATGTTATTACTTACCTCGCCACAAAGTATTTTACCCTTGTCGTAAGGCACATACCCACCTGTCTTGTCTTGTCTTGTCCACAATTGCCTCACAGCCTAGTGGGGAGTCACAGTTTTCTATCCTGGGCCAGGTGTGTTGCACGTGTTGTTGTTAGTCCGTGTTGCCTCAGGATCTCTGATATATTGTCTATCCATCGTACTCTCGGTATGCCTCTTGCTCTAGGGCAGTAGTGCTGTTCGTTGTATGCTGGTAGAGGCAGTTGGTCGGTTTGCATTCGCATCAAGTGGCCCAACCACTCTATTTGTTGCTTCTTTATGTATTGCAGGCATGGTGTGGTTCCTACTATATACACTTACATACCCACCTGTTTTGTTTTAAAAGCATTTTTTCCTACATCGCCAGTAGATGAACACATGATTTACACAGTCCTATTCGCTTTCGTGTGTACCTGTGGTTTAAAGGTAGTGACTGTGTTTAACACGTTCATGATCACCGTGTACCAGCGTTACATTTTCGTGGCGAATGGTTTAATAATTAGGGGGAAACAACAAAAAAAAGTTTTCCTGGTTTTGGACAATACTCACATCGTAGAAGACATTGGGCACTCACCACATTATGTTCCTAAAAACAGCAATGGATTCAATACAGTCAAAATTCCTTGTGGAAACTGAGCATCACTTTTTTTTAATTTTAATTATTTACTTTCTTTTGGAAACTGCACATCACTTTATTTAATTTTTTTCTTTCCTAGTGGAAACTGCACATCACTTAATTTAATTATTTACTTTCTGGTGGAAACTGCACATCAATTTATTTAATTATTTCTTTCCTAGTGGAAACTGCACATCACTTAATTTAATTATTTACTTTCTGGTGGAAACTGCACATCAATTTATTTAATTATTTCTTTCCTAGTGGAAACTGCACATCACTTTATTTAATTATTTCTCTTCTGGTGCAAACTGCGCATCACTTTATTTAATTATTTCCTTTCTGGTGGAAACTGCACATCACTTTATTTAATTATTTCTCTTCTGGTGCAAACTGCGCATCACTTTATTTAATTATTTCCCTTCTGGTGGAAACTGCACATCACTTTATTTATTTTTTTTCTTTCTGGTGGAAACTGCACATCACTTATTTAATTATTTCCTTTCTGATGGACACTGCACATCACATAATTGAATTATTTCTTTTCTGGCAGAAACTGCACATAACTTTTTTTTAATTTTTTTTCTTTTCTGATGAAAATTGCACATCACTTTATTTAATTATTTCCTTTCTGGTGGACACTGCACATCACTTTATTTAAATATTTCCTTTCTGTTGGACACTGCACATTACTTTATTTAATTATTTCCGTTCTGGTGGAAACTGCACATCACTTTATTTAATTAATTCCTTGCTTGTGGAAACTATACCTTATTCTATTAAATTTATTCCTTCCTTGTCGAGACGGCACAGTCTGTTTTTCAATTATTCCCTCCCTTTGGCGATGGCACAGCATTTGATTTAATGTATTCCTTCCTGGCGAAGACGGCACACCGTTTTATATAGTTTATTTCTCCCTTGTGGGGACGGCATAGCGTTTTATATAATAAATTACTTCCTTGTGGGGACGGCACAGCGCTTTATATAATTATTTTCTTTCTTGTGGGGACGGCACATCTTTTTATATAATTTATGTCTCCCTTGTGGGAACGGCACAACGCTTTATATAATAATTTTCTCCCTTGTGGGGACGGCACAGCGTTTTATATAATTAATTACTTCTTCGTGGGGACCGCCAAAAAAAAAAAAAAAAACTGCCAATAACTGCCTCTGTTATACCACTTTTGCGGTGTAGACGGAGGTGAAAAAAAAAGGGGGGGGGGGTGGAGCCTGGGGATTTACAGGCGCATGGCTAGTGCTGTCGCCACGACTGTGCACGTGTAGGAACAACACACCATTTTATTTAACTATTGTCTGACTTGTAGAGAATTAATCAAGTAACAGAAAGTGTATTGATTGGCACTCATAGAAAGAAGTAGATAGATATAAGAACACACTATACAACATAACAATCGAAAGCTATAGTTACCGTTACGAGAATTGAGACTGACACCTCCAGACGGCGTCTGCGCCTCGCCATGAATACAAGTGCACTAAGAACATGGTCAACTAATAACCCCCCCAAAAAAAGGTGTCTTATTGGCCATGTCTATAGTACAACTTGAAATCCACAACTATGGAATACGGACAAAATTCATTTCTAACCATTTAAATGGCATCATAGGTTACATAAATTTATAATAACGAAGCATATGTCGAATAACAATCACAGCAACAATTTACGAACACGGTAGACTTTAATGCTTACCTTATAGAGACGGCAAACCATTTTATGTATTGAATTTCAGATGCTGTTCCTACGTTGGAAACACGGGAACCGGCGCCCATGCTGTGTCTATTGGCCCTGGGTGTAACCAATTCGGAATTGTCCTTCATGAACTGGGTCATACCATTGGTTTCTGGCATGAGCATGCCAGACCAGACAGAGACCACTATGTGAAAATTATATATACAAACATCGAGCCTGGTAAAACGACAAAACTTTAGATAATGACAGCTATAATCATATGTGATTGAATGAAACTATCTTTTGCATTTTTTCTTTTTAAAATGGAAACACTCCACTATCTTTATCATCCTTGTCATTTTTATCATCATTATTTTTACCATCATTATCATTATGAACATCTTCATTATCATTATAATTATCATCACAATCATTATGATCATCATCATCTTCATCATCATCATAATCGTCATTTTTTTTCATCATCATTATCTTTATCAGCAACATCGTTATCCACATCATCATTATCAACATCTTCATTACCATCATTAGTATCATCTTCATTATCATCATCATCATTATCAATATCGTCATTAGCGTTAACTTCCACGTTTGCCGTTGGTGATCGTCAGAAGGTAATGTTTGCAGTACAGCGCCCCATGTGTAACACTAGCTATTGTCATTCGAATAGAATGTATTTGACTTCAATAAGTCTGACCTTTTCCCTTTATATCTTTCTGTCATATCTAATTATTTTAGCCCTAGAACCTGCTGTATTTTTGTTTTCCTGCATTATGAAAAGACAATCGAGCAATTCATTATTTCTTTTCAATTTCTTTAATGCAGTAGGACCTCGCTTAACGAGCACCTCTCATAACGAGTAATTCGCATGACGAGCAAAACAGATTTAAAAAAAAAACGACTTGCTTAACGAGCGACGTTTCGCATAACGAATGGCGAGGAGAGGGGAAGTCCCAGGTGTTACATCAATCTGTGTTTAGCACTCGTTCCAGTAGCATCGTAGTATCGCTTATGATCACACATTTGCTCAAACTTGTGTTATATTGTGATATATGTACATGAATCCTCCAGGCCTACAAGATGACCACTCTGAAAAATTTAAGTTTATCAAGATCCAGTTTCTGCCTTCCAACACCACTCCGTTACTCCAGCCCATGGACCGGCAAGTTATTTCGGCTCTCCTTTGAATAACGGTCCCAAATGATCTACGCAGAAAGTTAACCCTAACAGAGCCTCATTACGTCCTGCCCTACAAACATTTAAAGTTGTAGCTCGGAGAATGTAAGGAACAAAAAGTATGAGGAAAAGGGCAAAGTCTACTACTTACTGACAGTTAAATCCTTTATATGTGAAAATTGTGGCATAGAAGTTGCAAATAGTGCCCGAATATCTGTTCTTTCGGGCTCTTCGCCATTTCAACCCGGCGCGGCTTGTCCGCGATTGTCGTTCCGGGCGAGACATAATCATTAATGCGCGTTTTAATGTACGCGCATGTCGCCTCGACACAACTTCAAATCAGCAGCCGCCACTATGGGGCTCCATTATCCCGACCACCTCTTGACCGTGGCGAATGCGACAACGCTGGCAGTTGCGACGGAAGAAGTAGCTCATGGGTGTTTTCCTGCGACTATAGTGCCACCTCTGAGAGTATCCCCCGATACTAGATGGCTACGACTCAGGAGCAAATACATTGCAGGAAGCTGCAGGAGCTGCAGTAGCTGCTCGTGAGTCCTAGCCATTTAGTTTAGCCCCTCTCGGAGGTGGCACTATAGTCGGCGAAAAGCGGTCAGCAGCTTACATATAACGACGACAGATTACTTCTACTGACGATTGGTAGATCCCTGTTGTACATGCTCCCCTGTGGAGTTTATTCTTATTGTACGTGGCTAGCCCACAAGACTACGAGGAAAGACTGGTGACGCTCGGGAAAGACCTTGTGACACCTATGGAAAGACTGGCTAAACGGTATCGCCGGGGGGATAAACTGACATCTGGAGACAGATGTCGACTGTGGACAGGGTTGATCACCCCTAACACAGTATAATACCTTCGATATAGAATATGCCCCCAGGGCCCTTCGAAAGAGGGGGAGAATCAAGGGCCCAAACAAACTGATATAAACGGGTACGACAATGCTAGCCACCGGACTCAGATTCTTGCCCAACGTCCGGGCTGGCTCTGTACATGTGGGAAGAGCTTTACGGGGTTGCGTGGTTTGAGAACGCATGCCGGAAGGATGAAATGCGAGGGTGCTCCACGCAGTAAACGCCGTCGCAAAACTACTACTCCCGTGGTAGTTTCTGAGTCGTTAGGGAACGACGGGCAGGGTGAACCCCACTCGCCCGCAGAGGCCCATGACGTCGACTGTGGAGGCGCAAATTGCACGTTAATTGGACCTCACCAACGCCTACGGGGCAGTTTCCCATATGCTACTGTGGCAGGCCTTTCGCATGTTTCACGTACCGACACAGATCAACCAAATGATCGAGCAATATTTCTCTAAGTTCGCTTTGCGCTTCTCTGCCTCGACGTTTACCACGAGGTGGACTGAGCTACAAGTTGGGATAGCTATGGGCTGTACGATCTCACCCATACTGTTCGTCATGGCCCTGCAGATCATGTTAGACGGGGCTGCCGGCTACGGACAAGGCCTTCAAATAGGTGATCACTGGATGCCGCCACTACGCGCATTTATGGATGACACGACTATAATCACGGACAGCGAGGAGTCTGCCCGCACGATCCTGAAAATTTTGGACGCGGTGGTCCAATGGAGCGGTATGCAATTCAAACCGCAGAAGTCGAGGAGTCTGTCAATCCTTAAGGGCAAGGTGTCGGCAACCAGTTTTACGGTGGCAAGGAATAAGATCCCCACTGTTCTGGGGGAACCAGTGAAGAGCCTTGGTCGCGTTTACGATTCGAAGTTATCTGATAGAGCGGAGGTACGGTGAATACACGAGTCACCGGCTACAGGCCTGCTCGCGATTGAGCGTAGCAGGCTGATCGGGAAGCTCAAGGTCTGGTGTCTCCAATTCATGTTGATTCCAAAGCTCCTCTGGCCGCTGTTAGTCTACGAAGTGACGATGACAGCAGTGGAGACGATGGAGAAAAAAATCAACACAGCCTTTAGAAAGTGGATTGGTGCACCGCCTTGTCTGACTGACGTTGCTCTGTATTGTAAACAGGCTAAGCTGGTACTCCCGTTCAAATCAATAACCTAAGAGTTTAAAGTCGGCAAGGTAAGACTCGCCATGCTCTTGCGCGAGTCTTCAGACCCAAATGTCATCGCTGTCCAGCCCGCTCTAAAGACTGGTCAGAAATGGAGAGTCCTTGATGCGATCCAATCTGCCCAGAATGCACTAAAAAAATATTGGGATACACTCAAACCGACCGTCGAGGCCTAGGTCACGGAAAGGTCAATTGGTGGTCCAAAGCCACAACCAAAGAACGCCGAGACATGGTAATACAACAAGTTAGGGCGAGATGGACGAAAATCACATGTATAAGCTCGAGAAATTCAGTGATTTAGCAACCAGTCTGAGAAGAGACGAGGCGTACACAGTACGGGTCTTTGCCGTCAAAGGGGGAGCTCTACAATGTGGTTAAAGAACTAGGATTGCGCGGTAATGAACGCAAGCGGACACTTAAACAGCTGGGCGAGGTTGCTGAGAGGGACTCTAGATGCAAAGAAACAACGGGCCTCGGTAAGCTGGTCCGGGTGTCTAGCGGAAAAGAATTTCTCATCCCTTGAAAGTCCATTGTCTGCCAGTGTTCCTCTGCCACCTGTTAACAAAGTTCAACATGTCTCCGGTATACCAATCGTAAGCTTGTCGCTCGGTCGTCAAGGTATGCAGACTGCTCTAATTATGCTACTGCGAAGACTTCTTATCCCACAGTACTTTCTGCAAAATCACCAAGTCGTCTTGTCCCTATCCGAACACCATCTAGTAATTTCGTGCATCAGGGAAAACAACCCTGAGCTTCATGAACTCAGGTGGGCCCACTCTCTGAAAACGTCTAGGAGCTCGTGGGCCGAAACGTTTGTCGACGAGAAATTACTTCTACTGACCATTAATAGATCCTTGCTGTACATGCTCCCCTGTATAGTTTATTCCTATAACTCGGGCCCTGCTGTAGGATAGCGCTATCGGGAGTATTCTCGCGTGTCGCTAATTTTTTTTTCGTCCGTAGTTAATCCTAGTTTTGCCGCCGTACAATCGCCATAAAAAAATCCGTTGCGTTTCGTGAAAATGTCGTGCGCAATTAATCATATTTTTGACACGGTTGAATGGCCGCAAAAAAATGCTAATTTTAGATATAAGTGAGGCTCTGTTTGGGTTTACTTTCTGCGTAGATCATTTGGGACCGTTATTCAAAAGAGAGCCGTTATTTCTAACGTTAAGAAGCTCTACACTAAAGCGCTCTTCGGGCATTGTTTTCAGGTGACTGAAGGGACCAGACTCACTCTCAAAGAGTTTTAGAAAAATCCCCTCCACATTATTGCCTGCCTCAAGATGACCGACAAGGCGGGGAAGGGGTTACCAAGAGAACCCTGACTTCTGCTTGAAAGAATCTTTGGCCGGAGAGCGTTGTCAATTTGTGACTTTGAGGGGTTGGAGACAGTACCTGTGGAACCTGTAGTCAACGAGATTGTGTCTTTATCCACTATCATGGAATTGTAGGTGGATAACAGTGATATCGAAGAGCTTGTGGAAGAGCACAGCCAAGAGCTGACCACCCAAGAACTTATGGAATCGCATTGTGTTTCACAGCAAGACGTTTTAGAGGAAAGTTTGTCAGAGGAGAAGGAGGAGGGGGTAACAGAATAGCAACAATCTTCTGGCGAAATAAGAGAAATTCTAAAAGCATGGCAAACTGCTGCATCTTACATTGAGAAGCATCACCCTAATAATGAAGTGGCTATACGCGCTGCAAATTTATTTAATGATAATGCTGTGTCTCATTTTCGCCAAATTTTGAAGCGTCGGCAAAAACATATTTCTCTGGACATCTTTTAAGTTAAAAAAAAGTCTATGTATCATAATTATTTCGACATTTTTTTTTTTTTTCTGCAAATTGAATTCGCATTCCAGGTGGGTTTCTTTCGCTTTTGAAGAAAAGATAAAGATGATCCACTCTCCTTAAAACAATAACAAATTCTGGAACGAATTATGCGAGATTCCACTGAACTTTGCTTTTCAGTGAATTTGTTATACGTGTTTTCACGACACAAACTCTATGACAATATATTTTCGTGCTCAATCTCAAAGGCTTAACTTTGCAGTTTTTCTCACTCATCTGATCTCACATGTGTTAATGTTATGTCGGTGAGCCTTTAATAATGTCCACGTTTGCCACAAGTAGCATTTTTAGTATGAGTTCATTGGCACCTTTCCATATTTTCAGACGATAGTGTTAGCATGTGTTCTCTGTTTATAATTGGTTTCGAATTGTCATGCTTATATTCATTTGCTTTATTTATGCTGTCTTGGTACTTTTTTTTTTTTCTTGTCTATCACGTCGTCAGTCGAGAATGTACTTCCTATATTTTTACTTTCTTCAACTTCCGCCAAACAAACATTATTCAGCTCCAATTGTGGATGATTGTGAGCATAAAGACAATTTTTTTTTTTTTTAAGAATTACATTTATGTTTATCCAATGTTTTTCTCCACACAACACCACATTACACAGGCGTATGTAAATCGTCGTCATAAGAAATAGTGCAGGATATGTAAAAAGCCACAGATAATATTAAAACTCTATGTATCCGTGCGGCCAAAGTAATCTTCGCGATTATTATCCTTAATTAACATGACGACTGGCTTGACAATTATGCCCAACGGTATCTCTACTGAGATATCCAACGGTTTGAAAAAACTTCTTATACTGACATCCTTCCGTGGTATAATTAATGGGCGTCAAGGATTTTCTCTTCTTGTTTTCCATTGTTTCTCTTTCCATAAATCTGTCCAGTTGTCACAAATACTCCAGTTTCTTTCTTTCTGTATCGGGACCAACACTGATCAATGTCATATTCCGATATTTGTGATAAGTATTTTCTGACTTGTCTCCTTAAAAACACCTGAATTACTTATTATGGTTGTCCAAGAAGTTTTGATTTGATTTGATTTGATTTGATTCAAGAACCGACATCACAGCACTCGGGGCATTTCTATAAGCGCTCAGTCCCTATCTTCAGCAGCCAGCAAAGAGTTCCGATACTAATGGTGCCAGTACGTTTCTGATTAAACGTCCGTCTTGCCTTTCATCTGAGCCTTGAGCTTCTGCCAGAACCTCTCGTCACCCCCAACTGCATCAATCTCACCAAACTGTGGTGATCTATCTGCTCCTCCTCATTGTACACGCTCTCCAACAAGGCACTAACCACGTCTGTCCTATCATGTAGCAGTATTCCACAAAGTTGAGCAGAGCCAGTCAGTCTGTCCGCCTGTTCATTTCCCAACACACCAGCGTGACCCGGTGAAAAAATCCAGACAATACTCCTAACTTGTGTCCTCCGCAGCGAAGCATGCCACTCTGCACGAAACATACCTGTTCTGGTCTTCCTCAGCATGCTTTCTGAATCAGTTACAATTACAATGTGTGTGTGTGTCGTTTTCTCTAGCCAGCGGAAAGCTGCAGTGACCGCCTCCACCTCCATTTTTAAGCTGGATGTTGTGGTATCATATGCTAGGCTCTCCTGCACCAAACGTCGACCATTAACATTTGCTAAAAAGCCCCAAGCACTTCTTTTGTCTCTTGACACTGAACCGTCTGTGTAAATGATCAAATCCTCTGAACGAGCATTATCTTGAATTATTTGCTGAATTTCCACCTCTGTCGCACCTGCTGGCCAGTCTCTGCATTCCCGGCTCAGCGTGATTATGACTCTACACAAGTCTGACTGCTCAGGTGGCACTTTGACCCACTCCTCTCCTCGCTTAATGTTCTCAAGGATGCAAACCTGTCTGATTGTGTCTTCTGCCTGAGCCATCTATGACCTCCCTCTTATCAGCCGTTGATCCTTAACTGCACCCAGAGCTTCATGCAGAGGGTTGTCTGTGTCTGCAGCTACCCTGAGATATGACTTCGCCTGCATCACCTTGTGCCTACCTGCAACCGTCGGCAAACCAAGGATGTATCGCATACACACCACTCTGGTGTCTGGTGCAACCCATAATGACCCGCATAGCCGCGTTCTGTCTGCGCTCTAGTTTGTCCATCTGACTCTTTGAGACAGTAAGCAGTCCCTGGCCATAATCCACCACTGACAGGATCAGGTGATATAGTGTGAAAAACATTCTCTGCTCTATGTCAAGAAGTTTTAAGAGCACTTTATACTAAAACATCTATGAGACTTTAAAGTATTGCTTGGCGTATTTACTAACTGTTCAGAATTCTAAGCTTTATGTTCAAATATGGTTCTAAATAAAATCTAGGAATTACGTTTCCAGCCTTATAGGGCGGGTTTATCAAGCAAAGTCGAGGCGAAATAAACATCTGCATCTAGTGACTTAAGATCATTGTGCATGCTGCATCGGCTTTTTTGTTTGCTTTCACCGGCTATAACTACTGGTGGAAAGTTTTGGTTGTTCGTCTACTGCTGGACTTTGGTCGCGTTCCAGAACTTAAGTATCGTGTGGACGTCCGTTTCACAGATCTCATTGCCTCTCAGGCAGAAGCACTCAAACTTCGAAGCAATCCTCTAATTGCCTCAATGCTCGCTGTACTGCTCTCAAGCCATCAGAAAGCTGCCATTACTGCCTCCACCTCCATTCTCATACTGGGCGTAGTGGCGTTGTATGCAAGGCTCTCCGTTTTTCAAGCAGTAGCTATTCCCCTGTGCAATAAAATCCCACTACTCTTCTTAACTCTCACTGCAGACCCATTTGTATATACTATGATGTTACACTGATCAGCTCTGGCACCGCTGACTTTGTTTTACCATCTATCCACTCCAGGCACTTTCGGGCCAAGATAAATATCACCCTGTGTAACTATCACTCTTTTTTTACAGAGGCAAGTATCGCTTAAGAGGTCGGGGTTACTTGAAGTCCGTCGGGTGTTTTTTCTAGAGGATGCTGGTGTTTTAAGGAAACGAAAATGGACATGTTGCCTGGTTCTGTAAAGCTAGGTAACGAATTGATGCACAACACGGAAGATACGGTCAGCTCTCCAGCAAGAAGTATACACTGCAGAAACATGAATACGACAGGGTCTGTAGCTTAAGCATTGCGAACTCTCTTCACAATTCCGAGGTACCTATTTCGATTCCAGCTGAAAGCCATTTGGCAGCTGACTAAAGGTGTTGAGAGCCAACTGTTCAGTCAGCAATAGCAACTGTCTGACGTATAATGGTCTAATAAAATCAAACATCTAAAAACGGAAAAAAAATTGTGGGTTTGTTTCTGCATTGTGTTGTAAAGGACCTTTAGCTAACTCTTTTATACATCACACGCGACAGAAAGAGAATTAAATGTGCACGACTTTGAATGAACCAAATGAAAAGGCACAAAATAATACCGCTATACGCAAACTTTGACATTCAACAAAAGTCATTTTAGGGACATTTGATGAAATATAAATTATATGTTCAATTACAGGTGTAGAAAGTAACTTCGAAAAAAAGCCATTCGGTGAAGTGAATTCCTTGGGAGAACTATATGATTTTGGCAGGTAATATTTTCATTTGGTCCTTATTAATCAAAATATAAACGTGAACATACACAAGAAAAAAGAAACAGACTACACAGCACAGCAGAAATTGTGCGACTGAGAATAAATACAAAGAAAACTAAGATCATGACAAGCAGTCTAAACCAACAACCAGTGACCATAAATAACCAAACTCTTGAAAATGTAGAACATTTCACATATCTTGGTAGTGTGGTGTCCCAGCCTGGAGGGACCAAAGAGGACATACAGCCACGTCTGAACAAAGCTAGAGCTGCTTTTGGAAGGATGAGGAAAATCTGGAAATCCAACAGTTACTGCAGAGGAACGAAACTCCGACTCTACATGAGCATCATTTTGCCAGTTCTTCTTCATGGAGCGGAATGCTAGAGAATGACCAAAAAGGATGCACACAAGCTGTCCACCTTCCACCTCACATGTCTACGTAGAATTATCAAAATTTTCTGGCCAGATACAATTTCAAACACTAAACTACTTCAAGTCACAAACCAAGAAACTTTAGACAGTATGATAACCAAGAGAAGATGAAAATGGCTTGGCCACGTTATAAGAAGGAATCCTGATATACCCGCCAAAACAGCTCTCACATGGACACCAGAGGGTAAGAGAAAACAGGGGCGCCCAAAAACAACATGGAGTCGAACGATGGAAAGTGACCTGAGTGTGGCATCTTTGACATGGAAAACTGCACTGAAGATTGCACAGGACAGGAAAGCATAGAAAGTCCTCTCTGAAGAAGCCTCGTGAGCCTTTAGGCATAACGAGAACTGATGATGAATTAAAATGTTCTCTATTACTCTATTGGTATGTAACATTAGATTTGGCTCAAATGTGTTTCTGTGGTTTTATGTTCATTGTTAAATATACCTCTGCTGGTTTCATTAAGAAATAGTTTGTAATAAAATAAATAACAGGCGTTCACTACAAGGACCATGCAAATACTGACTTTCACATTAGCCTTGGGGCCAAGGTAGACCTTGCCTTACAAAACTAGAATCAGTAACTGTTCTGAGAAGCAAAAATTATCAAGTGACCACTTGGTTTGTCTATACAAATATGTGTAAAAGGAGCCTATTCCACGTCTTTATGCATACTGATTATGTATGGCTAGACATATATTTTATACACCATTGGTCACTCGGTTGGTAACTAATCAGCACAAAGACGTCACCTTTACTTCCTAGGACATGACCTAGTATTAATTTGAGGCTGGGTATAACTGGAAGCCAAGGTCACTTTTGAAATTGATCTGATGATGTGCATCTGAACCCACGACCTTCTGACCCGAGGAGAGCGACTAGCCGCTACGCTACTGCTGTTACCTTACAAATATGAGGCTAGGATAAAAAAAATAAACAGCGTCTTGTATAGGAATCCGAGATATTGTGATCACATTAAGTGCCATTGTGGATTGGAAAAAATAATAGCAGAAGGCATGGCATTCGGAAGGAGTGGCAGGGGCCGATCAACAAGAAAATGTGCAAAGGACAAAAGTGACTCATTGAAATGAAATTACACGAGGAGGCTGGAGAGCTGGCGAGAAACCGAGTTTCTTTCAGGCAGACCGTGAGAAGAGCAACGTTTTGCAAAGGACCTGATGATGATGATGACTGGCTAAGCCACACTGGTTAAGAGATAATCGGTATCCGAGCTAAGTCGCGCTCGGTTTTCTTGTATGTTGCGATCTTGTGAAGTCTCAGGGTATCAGCGACTCCTTTGATCTATCTTTTCCATGGTTGCCTCCTACATCTTCGTGTTTCAAATTTCATGATGTACTTTCTATTGACTATATCACTGGACTGATTTTCATTAAATGACCAAACCATTTCACCTTTGTTTTTCAATAAAATTAATTCAATGCTCAAATGATCTTTTCTGGTTTTCTTCACGGCATCTCTTGAACAGTTAATTTCTTTTGTGGTCACTATTCTTTCGTGTTTTTAGTCAAAGTATGATATTGATATCACAATCTTGGTATAAAGATTATTTTCGCAATTTGTCAATTTTTAAAAAAATCTCCTTGTCTGTTTTTGCCATCATATATAAAGATGCTCCCCTAGGTATTTAATGTGTTGAACTTGTTTTTAACTGTAATCTTTAATCAACATTTCGTGACGTCCGTATTTACAGCATAATGCATTACTCGCTAAACTCATTTGGACACAATAAATCCCTGGACACGATAGTGCCCAGATGGACATCGATGACATACCATGTTCCGGAAATTGGTCAGCGAAAAAGGTTAAGTCCTGGGGACATCAGACAAACTAACAAACTGTACAGATGTCCGAGTAAGTACATAACTAATACATGACTTTACATTAAATTGCTTTGAGTAAAGCTAGCATCTGGCTAATAAACATAACCAGTTGCTTATAGATGCGTGTGGAATTTGGATTCATACAAGCGAAAATCCATCCTGATCACACTGATAGTGTAGTAGTGAATACGTGTAGATAATAGACAAGTTAAGGAAGAAATAAAACGCTAAGGAAACAGTAAGACCAATGTGACGGCTGCGTAAATAAACTAACACGTGTTGACTAGTATTTAATAAACAAAGATTATCCATGGCTATAGAGGAAAACTGTTTCTGTAACAAATGATGATAAGGCAACCATTTACAGGTATAACCTTATCTTATAGTTGTCTCAGGTGTTGGATAGATCTGTACAATGTAGTCATTGGTTGGGATGCCTGGTATGCCACAGTAGGTGGACCTAGCCTTAAATATGTAGTAAGCAAGTAACAATTCCTATTAGTAAAGGTAGTCGGTGTGAGGTTGACCACGTTCCCCATCAAGTGTAAACATGAGTCTTGTCGCATCATTGGTCAAGTGCGCATAAAATATTAATCCACGCGTCGAATTACACTGGTTCCTATAAATAACATGAATAATATGAATTTTGTCCGTATTCCAAAGTTGTGGATTTCAAGCTGTACGATAGACATGGCCAAAAAGACACATTTTTTAAGGGGGAAAAAAGGGTGGGGGGGGGGGGATGGCCTAGTTGACCACGTTCCTAGTTCACCTGTTTCGATAGCGATCGCACACGCCGTCTGGAGGTGATAGGTTCGATTCCCGGCAATGCAACTACAGCTTTCGATTTTTATATATTGTCTAGTGTGTTCTTCTATCTTTCTACTTCTTTCTATAATTGCCAATCAATACATTTTAGGTTACTTTATTATTATACTCTTGTTCCTTTAACGAGACATAGTAGTTATTCAAAAGGGACGGGTTCGAATACTTGTATGGTAACCATACCATTCTGTTTGCATATTGTCTAGCGCATGCTTATGTCTCTACGTTTTCCATCTCTGCGAGTCAGTCAATATATTACACTTGGTTTTTTAAAGCTAATGAAGATGTAACTTCAGTGGGTATAATCGACCGCGTGTCATAGTACACATTTTCCTTCAGTCAAGCGCTATTATGATTTAAAGCGAAGGGCTTGAACCCTGTGTTGTCCACTGTGGAATTCAATACTCAAATCGTACGTCTCCGATACTGTCTTCTTCTATGAGTGCAAATAAATGCGAAATCGTGTTATTTCGTATAATTATAAATAAACGCGTGAACATCCTGGCCAAATCACACAGTGACCATACAGCAAAGATTATATCGCCCCTTTTTTCATCTCTGCCTCAGTCTGAGAGAGACACAGAGGTAGAAGGAGAGAAAGAAAGAGAAAAACAGCGAAAGAGAGAGAAAGAGATGAGAGTGAAAGAGCGCAGTGATAGACTGAGAACGACAAGGTTTTGGAAAGGATGTGAACTCACAACAGATCGTCCAAGACTGGGTCAAGCACATCTTGTTGCAACTAAAAAATCAAAACTATCATCAAA